AGGTGAGGATTTGGAATCCTCTGCCCCATCTCTGGGGGTTCAGCGTCTTTGGCTCTGTCCCGGGGGTGTTCTCTCTCCGGAGTGGACCCCGTGCAGTCTGTTTCTTGAGGATCCACTACTGAGGAAGTGCAGCAGCCATGGTGCCGCACCTGCTGTGCCGCACACCAGGGCCTGCAGGAGCCTGCTGGTTTCTCCCGTGTCGTGGAACAGGAGCGAGCTTGCCTTTGTAATTTGCCTCACTGCGAAGGGGCATCCCCATCCTGCCTCCTGTTCCTGTGTCACAGAGCAGGCTGCTGGCGGCGCCCCTTCCCCGCCCTGCTGCTTGGAGCGATCTTATCCCCATCACACCCCCATGTTTCCGCCCCCAGCTCTGCCAGAGGTCACACAGCCTTGCAAGGCCAAGGGTGTGAGCGGCTGGTCAGGTGCACGTCTCAGGCAGCGGAACTGGTGGGTGTTGGTGTCTGGCTCTGCTCACCTCACGCTGTGGCCTCTCTCTCACCGCCCCAAAAGGACCAGCCCTGCCCAGAGCCGCCTCCCTCCCCATGATGCTTCTTTGTGACTTCCCACCTCCACTCTATCCTGGCTTGTCTTGTTCTCTGTGGCCAAGCTGTATGTAGGGGTGTAGCCCCCAGAGCAAGTAATACAGATTTTTAAAAAAAATTTATCTTTTTTTTTTTTTTTTTTAATTGAAAGAGTGACAAAGGCAGAGAGAGAGATCTTCCCTCCATTGGTTCACTCCCAAAATGGCCACAACAGGGCTAGTCAAGGCTGAAGCCAGGAGCCTGGAACACCACCCCAGTCTCCTCTGTGGGTTAAAGGGGCCCAAGTACTGCTGCTTTCCCAAGCACATTAGCAGGCAGTTGGATTGCAATGGTGCAGCCAGGACTCAAGCTGTCGCTCCGATACGGGATGATGACAATGGAAGCAGCAGCTTAACCCGCTGAGCGGCAACGCTGGCCCTGTGATGCTGATCTTTTGATTGTAATTTGGATCCAGTGAAAGGAGGCCACCCCACTACTGTCATCTTCTAGAGTCTGCTTGGTGCTTCTTGGAAAAAGTGAAGAACCTTTCAGGGAGGAGACGCTGTAGGAAACCAAACCAGTTGCCACCGTGCCCATTCAGGGCAGTCGTGGAGCTTACGGGCTCTTCCTCAAGGTCTGACTCGGGAGCCGTGACCTTGGGCAGGTCCTGTGCATCCTGATAGACAGGGAACTGTAACGCATGATTCCTCGCACTACTGAGGCCTGTTCAGTACCACGGGGCTGGTGCGTCTCTGGAGGAAACACACGTTCTCCTTGTAACATACCCTGCAGGAGCATTTGGACTGAGAACACGAAGTCCCCAGACTTTGTCCCCAGCAGATTGATTGCAGGGCCTTGTCCAAGCAGAGGGCGAGGAGCTCCTGTGCCTGCAGGCTGCAGGGTGGGGTGCAGTGCCTCCAGCTGCTGGCAGAGCGCCCCTCTCCTGTGTGGAGGCTGTGAGCACATTGGTGTCCAGCTGGCCATCCGGCACCTGCTTTTCACCAGAGCTGCTGGGGTTTATGTCCCCACTGTCATCTGAGGAACACCCCCCCCTCCCCCCCCGGTTCCGATACAGCCACCTTGTCTGATGTGATGCCGTTGGATGGGTGTTTCCGTTACGGGAGTGCCGGGGAGCAGTGTGGAGTGCGGGAGAGGACACTGTCACCCAGTGGCTTTTCCCAGTGGTGTACCTTGAAGTAAGGCATTCCTCCAAAACCTGGGGTGTCTGTGCCAGGTGTGCTGCACGTGCTATTTCGGGGATAGAGACACATTTAGCCGGATGTGGCCCATAATGTCTTTTTTTTTTTTTTTTAAGATTTATTTATTTATTTGAAAGTCAGAGTTACACAGAGAGAGGAGAGACAGAGAGAGAGAGAGAGAGAGGTCCTCCATCTGATGGTTCACTCCCCAGATGGCCGCAACGGCTGGAGCTGCCAGGAGCCAGGAGCCAGGAGCTTCTTCTGGTCTCCCACACAGGTGCAGGGGCCCAAGGACTTGGGCCATCTTCCCTGCTTTCCCAGGCCAAAGCAGAGAGCAGCCGGGACTCAAACTGCGATGCTGGCACCACAGGCAGAGGCTCAGCCTACTACGCCGCAGCGTTGACCCAGGCACATACTGTTGGGGCTTTGCAGCCCCCTCGGTGTTTCCTGGCTAGCCAGTGCAGGCACCCAAATCTCTGTTCAGGGCATCTCAGCCCCACAGATGGTAAGCCTTGCGTGAGTGGCAAGCTCACGTTCAGATTGGAGCAAGGTGGGACAGTGTAGAACTCTTTGATAGGCCTTTCAGACTGATGTGAGGGATACCATTTACGTGGGCGGTTAACACTGATGTTTACAGAATTAATGGAGTTCTGGTGCACACTGGGCAGTGGGCATCAGTTCTCTGAGTTTGCACTTGTCAGTTCACAGGAAACCTTCGCCATTTGTCACTGAACATTCATTGGGCACTATATGTGTGCTCCACGCTGGAGTGAGAGGTTTTGGTTTGACTATCTTCCTCCTTCCTCCAGAGACTTGATGGTGCCCTCAGAATAGTCTGTTGTGCTTGCTTAAATGCACTGTCAGCTGGGTGGGGAACGTCCAGCCCAGCCCATGGGCTATGTAAGGCCCACGAAAGGGGCTGGCGTGGTGGCACAGCAGGACAAGCCTCCACCTGCACAGTCAGCATCCTGTATGGGTGCCCGTTTGAGACCTGGCTGCTCCACTTCCAATCCAGCTCTCTGTTAATGTGCCTGGGGAAGCAACGGAAGATGACCCAGATGCTTGGGTCCCTGCACCCACGTGGGAGACCCAGAAGCAGCTCTGGGCTCCTAGCTTCAGCCCTGGCCAATGTGGCCATTTGGGGAGTGAATGGAAGTGGATGGAAGACATCCCCCTGTCCCCAACTCTGCCTTTCAAATTAAAAAAAAAAAAAAAAAAAATCCGGCTGGTGCCGCGGCGGCTCACTAGGCTAATCCTCCACCTGCGGCGCTAGCACCCCAGGTTCTAGTCCCGGTCGGGGCGCCGGATTCTGTCCCGGTTGCCCCTCTTCCAGGCCAGCTCTCTGCTGTGGCCCGGGAGTGCAGTGGAGGATGGCCCAAGTCCTTGGGCCCTGCACCTGCATGGGAGACCAGGAGGAAGCACCTGGCTCCTGGCTTCATAACAGCACGGTGCGCCAGCCATGGGGGCCATTGGAGAGTGAACCAACGGTAAAAGGAAGACCTTTCTCTCTGTCTCTCTCTCTCACTGTCCACTCTGCCTGTAAAAAAAGAAAAAAAACCTTTTTTTTTTTTTTAAGCCCACAAAATTGTTTGGTCTGGCTCTGCGAAGACAACTGCAGGCAGGACTCAAAATTCAGTAAATCTGTAGCAGGCTGATTTTTAAGTTTCTATTTTTGTTTGACCCATGAATGATGTTTTAAATACTCAAACAGCCCTTGGCAGAGAACAGGTTCCCCACCTGTGCTCGGCACCAGTCAGAACCAGTCCGCGTTGGGCTGGATTTAAATCTGCCTTCATATTTGCAAGAGATACAAGTAGGGGCAAGAAGGGCGAGGAAACCTTCCAGGTAATACTGACCTTGAAGGCTGGCCTAGCTTTATTGCTAGTAAATGGTGCTTTTTAAGGCCAAGAAGATCACTTCGTAGTGATAAACTGATTAATTTCCTAGAAAGACTAAATCTTAGTTCCCTCTGTAGTCAGTAGCTCAGCTGAATCGGGAGGAACTGAGCAGCTGGAGCTCACCCATCAGCCGTGGAGGCGGCCGCTCCCAGGACTCCCAGGACGGCACTCATGGGGAACGGCACAGCGGGGATTCTTGTGTTACAACTACTTTGAAAATCAGGGTTTCTCAGCCTTGACACTGTTGACCTGGGAGGCTGGTTGAGTCTTTGTTGCTGGGCTGTCCAGACGTTGTGGGATGTGTGGCCCAGATGTCCCTCCCAGACCGTGTCCGGCAGCAGGTGCCCACAGCATCCTCCCCGGGAGTGACACCACCACCTCGTGCCCCCGGGGGCAGAGTCGCCTCTGGGGAACCCGGTGCTGCCATCTCCTCTCCAGACACAGGATTTGGCGTGCGTCTTTTCCCTTCTCGAGTAGCCAGATGGTCTTGCCCTCAGTAAACGGGACGTTTTGAGAAAAAGCGTGGGGTGGGCACGGAGCCTGGACATTCGTGCTTTGCCTTCTCACAGCCTCTCCCCGCTTCCCTGTCCAGTGTAGGGACACTCGCTTGTGCGTGGGATTCCTAGTGCAGGGCCCTGAGGACTCAGACTCGCAGGGCTCTGGCTGCTGGTGGGGAGGTCGGGGCCCGAATGTGCTGGTGGGTTCCCGTCTTCTGATCCTCCTCAGCGTCGTCTTGGCTTTGCTTCTCTGAAGTGGTGGCATTGCGTTTGTCGGGACCTGGGCGTCCTGTTGTGCCGCCTCGGCTCCAGATCCCCGGGGTCCGCGTGGAGACGCACGGCCTCTGCTGTGCTCTAAACCTAGTGCTGGGTGCTGGTCGCAGAGCGTTCAGATCCAAACCGGAAGAAAATAGGAAATGAAATCCTGAAACATGTGTCACCAAGGAGCTGGAGGCGTCGAGCTGGGAGTTTGTGAAGAGAGGGGCCACTGCAGCAGGTGGAGCTGCACGCTGGGTTCAGGGGTGGCCAGGGAGGGTCTCAGAAGTTCAGCGGAGCGGGAGCAGGCGATCCAGGCAGGTGCTGCACACAGCGCAAGCACGTGGTGAGACTGCGCTTTAGAAAGCCGATTGGCGTGGCTCTGTGAAGAACAGACGGGGGTTGTGCGGTGACCCCAGCGGAGCAGTGAGGTCAGCCATGGGGTTGAAGGGAGGTGGACCCGCAGAGGGAGTCAGTCCCAACCCAGAGTCTGGTCCGCATCCGTCACCTCATAGGACACAGTTGTGTCCCTGGCTAGAGAGACATTGCCTTTAGCTCGGAAAATAAAGACGTAAGTTTTTATTCAAGAGAGATTTTTTTCCACTTTTTATATACATTTTTTTCCTCTAGGAAATAGACAGACGGTTGGAAAAAAAACTGAAGATCACACAAAAGGAGAGGTAAGGCTCCTGTCTGGTCTGAGGCTCACGCTCTCTGCCGCTCGAGAGCTGAGCAGTCAGGGGTGTCCTCCAGCTGGCCCAGGGTGTAGCAGGTCAGGCCCCTGGGCAGTGACCCCTTCTCTCTGAGCTGGAGACCAGGATGAGGTAGCTTGAGGCTTCAGGAGTGAGGTTGGGGTGCTGCCCGCCTCCCCCCTTCCTGGCCCCGCGGTCTGACGGCACGTGGGAGGTCACAGGACGGAGGACTTGGGTTTTAGGCCAGCGGCTCTGAGGCTCAGGCACGCTGTTCCCGCTCTGGGCACCAGTGCTTCTGTGTTACCAGAGGAATTTGGACAGATGCTTTCTCTGGGCCCTTGGTACCTTGTGAGGATCCTGGAAGAGAAGAGGCTAGGAAATTCTCGAAGAATCTTTAAGGCTAGCTTTGTTCCCTCCCTGCACAGCAGAGGAAGTGGGTTTCCAGAGCAGGCAAAAGTCACTTCAGCTCTCTCCGGGCCTGGAGAACTTGTCGGCTTTGTGTGGGAACAAGTGGCGGAAGGAGGAGGGGCCTCTGGGTGTGCTTGGTGGGCTGCAGTCGTCTCCAGGGAGCTCGGGGCGCTGCCTGGCCAGCTCGCCCGGCTCCCCGCCTCTTTGGTCAGATTTCTGGCTCCCTGTCTGTCTGCTCATCCCAGCAACCACACTGACGCCTGGTTACAGTCCCCTTCCCGTCCTGCTCCTTTCCCACCCAGCACTCGCTCCCCTTGGCCCTGGCAGCAGCTGAGTTCCTCTGGCCCCTGCCCCCGCCACCAGCGTGGCTCTGGTTGGTTCTGGAGAGGAGCCAGGAGTGCTGGGGGAGGGGCCTCCCCCCCCCCCCCCCGTGGTTCTGGTTGGTTCTGGAGAGGAGCCAGGAGTGCTGGGGGAGGGTCCTGGCGTTGTCGTGAGTTGGTCTTTCCGCACTGGCCCCTTTCATGTCCTGCGGCTTTTTGTTTCTTTCTTTGCCTGTGTTGTTTCCCCTCTTGGTTTTTCCTTGGCTCCACCTCTCCTGAGGACACGTCGCCTGGATGTGCACATCCACCGGCCTTGGACAAGGCTTCTGGTGTGAGCGTTGCCAAGCGCTGTTTCGAGGACAGTCTGTCGCCAGCCCCGCCGTGTGCCGCAGGCCAGAGCGCCTGGTGAGGGAGGCTCCTCTGCGCAAGCTCTTGGGAGAGCTGAGTGGCTGTCGGGGAGGCACAGGGCGCGCTCAGGGAAGGCCGAGGCAGCCTGCTGAGTCCTGTCCTGATGCCGGGCAGGCTCCGTGGCGTGGGCTCCTCTCAGTGTCTGCCTGCCGCGAGTACGCGCGAGGGAACACCCGGGCTGACCTGAGTGGAGGCCAGCTGGGCTTCTGCTGCAGCCCTGCAGTCTAGACATGGAGCGTGTTGCTGGCAGGGACCAAACCAAGCAGTGGTTGAAGTGACTGTGACCAGCACGGGGATGCGAGTCCCAGAGCGCGGCAGGTGGCGTTCCAGCCCCTCTGGCCGGGTTAGGTGAGCGCAGTCCCTGGGGACCGCGGAGCTGTGGCAAGGTTGCCTGCTGTGTGCAGAAACGCTCCGTGGAGCATGGGAGTTGTGAGGCCTGGTCAGAGGCCAGAGGCTAGTGAACTGCATCAGGAGAGGGAAGCCCTGAGGGGGGTGCGGGGCGTGGCGGGGCGTGGAGGGGCAGGAGTGGTGAAGCTGTGTTTGCTCTTCATCAGCAGGAAATCCAAATCTCCTCCCAAAGTGCCCATTGTGATTCAAGACGATAGCCTTCCCACGGGGCCCCCTCCACAGATCCGCATCCTCAAGAGGCCCACCAGCAACGGTGTGGTCAGCAGCCCCAACTCCACCAGCAGGCCAGCCCTTCCGGTCAAGTCGCTCGCACAGCGGGAGGCAGAGTACGCCGAGGCCCGGAAGCGGATCCTGGGCAGTGCCAGCCCCGAGGAGGAGCAGGAGAAGCCCATCCTCGACAGGTGAGTGTAGCTGCCGGGCCCGCTGAGGGGGCAGCTGTGTGTAGTGAGCCGCAGGCAGGACGGGGACAGGGTCTGTCGCAGCACGAGCTGCCAACCCCCGCCCCCCGGGGACCCCCTCACAGTCTGCTGCTCTGAAAGCCACGGGGTGCTTTGAGGAGGTGGCGGCTGGCAGCCTCGCGGGCACCAGGCAGCAGCATTGCTTAGAGGGACTTGGCGTCAGCGTGCCACTCACCTCCGCGTCACTGAGAACTGCTTCCCACTCCTCGTGGCCCAATCTGGAAGATGGGCTGGTGACTACCGCCTGCCTTCTCGCACTGGGCAGGCCAGTGAGTCCATGAGCAGACGGCGCAGGTGCCCAGCCCAGTGGGAAGTGCTGGCGGGGTGCCTGAGTGTCGCCTCCTGTCGCCTACTGCACACTGAATTTCCTAATCTTGGCGGTGTTTTCTCTGCAGTGCTAGAAGTTGGGTTATTGTGTCACTTTCTCTCCAGCAGCATTTGGTAAAATCAGCTCAAGCTTTGAGGGGCTTCTTTCTTTGGCTTGGTGTTCTCTGGGGCTTAAGCGAACCTGTGTGCTTTCCCGCTGTCCCTTTGTTGTTTTGAAGGGAGGTCCGTTGTGTTACTTCTCCTCCAAGTCTTTCTCCAGAGGGAAAAAGTTCATTTCTTTTAGCCCCCTAGAGTGTGAGTCAAGTGTCAGCACGCGGTGTGGAGAGCAGCGGAAGGGCGGGGATGGCGGGGATGGCGGTGCTGGGCCCCCCTGCCGAGCCCCTGGTTGAGGCTCCTTCCCTGGGCCTGACACCCTGGAGAGTCGGTGCCTTGTGGTTCTGGGGAGGGTGTGCTGCGAACGGGCACAGCCTTTGGACAGAGTGGGCCCCTGAACACCCCCCTGCCAGCAGGTGTGTGATGCCGGGGAGAGTGCTGTAGCCCTGGCTGCCCGCGAGGACCTCCCCGCTGGGGCAGCCCCGAGTCTGCCTGCCGAAGGAGCCGGCTGACAGTCGCTGTTGGTGTTTACGATTTGGGGAGACCTTTTGTATCCTCCTTCAGGCCTTGCTCTGATCTTCCCTTCAGGCCGACCAGGATCTCCCAGCCTGAAGACAGCAGACAGCCCAATAATGTGATCAGGCAGCCTCTGGGTCCTGATGGGTCACAAGGCTTCAAACAGCGCAGATAAATGCAGGCGAGAAAGGATGCTGCCGCTGCCACCGTCTTCGCCTCCTGGGTTGTCCGCCACGGGTCGCACTGCCGTGGCAGACAGCTGGACTTGAGCAGAGGGAACGACCTGACTTACTTGCACTGTGATCCCCCTTGCTCCGCCCACTGTGACCTTGAACCCCATGCACTGTGACCTCTCCCCTTCCCCCCTTCCCACTGTGATTGGCACGTCGACAAGGGCTGTCTCAAGTCAATGGAAAGGGAAAGAGGGTGGGGATCTGGGGAGGGTCGGGGGGACCCACCAAGCACTCAGAGCAGAGAGTCAGACAGTGCCACTTGGCCACTTGGGGTAAAGCCAGTGCCAGCAATAACAGTTTATCATGCTCATTAATTTGGGATTTCAAAACACAAGTGAGAACTCCCGCTTACCCACCCCCAAGTGCATGTCTTCATCACTTAAAAAGTAAGTTCCATTTGAAGATATCCTTTCTTTTTTTTTCTTCCTATTTTTGTTTGTTTAATACAAATATCTGATTTGCAAGAAAAGTGCATGGGAGGGGTTTTAGTGGTTTAATGAATTTTTAATTGAGAAAGGGTAGTTTGGTAGTCTACTTAAAAATGTTTCTGGGAAATTCTCTGGAAACATTAACCAATAGGATTTTGGTGAGCTTAGCTTCTGTATTCCTACTGCCACCCAGAGAAGGGGCAGGGCTCTGCAGCCCTCAGGACAGGCGAGCACCCCATGCCTTTACCTCCCTCCCCAGCCAAGGCCCTGCCTGGAGACTGGCTAGCTCCACAGGCTCGGAGAGCGCTAGAGGCAGGGGCCGCGAGTGGACCCGGCCGTGCTCCCTGGGGAGGGTGCGAGCCCCTCCTCTAGTGCGCTAGAGGCAGGGGACGCGAGTGGACTCGGCCGTGCTCCCTGGGGGCTCCCGCCAGCTACTCCTGGACGAGAGCAGGGAGCGTGTGGGAGCAGACACCTCCTGGTAGAAGCCAGGGATGTGGCCTTGTTGAGTGTTTTGCTGTCAGCACAGACCACAGTTTGCCTCTGGGGCTCCTGGCGTGGGTAGGAGGTAGGTAGATCTTCCCACCCAAGCAGGGCTCAAACCCTAGGGGCTCGTGGCGTTCTCTCTCGTGAAGCCGGTACCCGGGAGCAGCTGATTCGGAACAGCAGGGAAAGGAAATCTTTGCGTTGTGTTGCGGAAGTTGGCAGCAGACGAATTCTCCAGAGGCCTCGGCTGCCCCGCATGCCTTCTTCCCATGTCGAGGACCTGGAGTGAAGGCAATTTCTCTGTCCCTGGAGCCTAGGAACATTTTTTTCGGCTCCTTGAGGTGGGAGAGGCTAGGAGGCCTGCTGTCCGGACAGCTCCGTGCGTGCAGCCTGACCCCTCTCAGGCTCCTGGTCGCTTGCGTTGCACTGCGCCTTATCCCTCAGCCAGCCTGCCAGCCTCCCAACTCCCAAACAACAGATGGGTTTTGGATCAGTTGGTGCAGTTTTGGGCAGTTCCTGGTAGCCAAGGTGGCAAGCTGGGATTGGTGGGCTTCGCCCCCCTTGGGCTCACCTGGCTCTAGGAATACCAGGCTGGGCCCACGGAGCCGCGTCCCACGACACCTTCCCCTCGGGAGGAAGGGCCAGCTGCCAGTTGTCAGCAGCCAGTCCCTAGCACAGGAAGGTATGTAGCTCGGGCTTACCCGTGAATGGAGCTGGAACAAGGCTTCAGTCAGGAAGACGGGCGGCTACCTCCAGGAGTGGGCGAGAGGAAAGTTGGCTGCTAATCTTTATACAGTCCCACTGCCCTGACCGAGTGTCCACGGTCCGAATGTCTTGTGTCTAGCCCTCAAGTGGTAGTGGGTTTTGGCCCAAGGTGAGGCTGCCCTTTGAGTGAGAGAAGGGTGCAGCGGGGAGTCCATGTGGGAAGGCCGGGAGTGCCAACTGCTCAGCCCTGGGGAACACCTGTTCTTGGCCCCTCTCCCCCGTGGGAGCCACGGCAAGGCTGGCAGCAGGTGTCTTCAGGTTGAGGACGTGGCAGGGACTGGGGGACTGGTGTTCCCACCTCCCTCCGGCCAAAGATGGGGCTCTGCCCGCTGGGTGCTGGCACCACCCCCAGCAGTCACACCCGCTCCCCAGGAGGAGAGGTGGCAGACAAAATGTTAACGAAAGCAAACAAGGAACTGTGTTGTGTTGGGGGGAGGAGGGAGGGCAGATGGGAAAACGGTTTGGATCTTGCGTGGTTTTGTTTTGTTTTGGTAGAGTTGTCCGTGACTTTCCTCAAGTGCTTTTTTCCCTTTTCCTTTTTTTTTTTTTTTTAAAGTAAGTTGCAGGCTTTGGCTTGGAAATCCCTGGGGGGGTGAGGGGCAGAAACCTGAGGCTGCTGCCCCTTTATCTGCCTTCTTGGTACTGTCCCTCCCCCACCCCAGCTCCCCCCGGACCCCATGAGCCAGGCCTCAGACCTTCCAGCTACCCGCTTCCCATGAGCCACTACTCTGATGTCAGCCTATAACCAAAGGAGCTGGGGGGCCGGGCCTGGTGACCAACCCTTCTCAGCCCACTCAATGAGGGTGCTCCCCACCTGCAGGCAGGAGGCAACACCCTATCTGCTACCATCAGCCCCTTCCAGAGCCCACCTGCCTCACCCAGCCCTGCCCTGCCCAGCCATACCCTGCTCTGCCCCATCTGGGGGTGCTCTGCTCAGGGAGGGGCCGGCAGGGCTGCACCCAGCTTCCCTGGTAAGCAGAGACTCAAGAAACCTCCGGGGTCCTGTTTTCTGGTCGTGTGATCCCAGGGGAGCGCACGGGCCCCTTGGGTGTCTGAACAGAAGGGAATGGGAGGGAGGGCCGCACCCACGCAGTCTTTGCTGCTGGTGATGCGGGCAGCTGCCTACCCCCACCCCACCCCGCACCGCGGGCTCCTGAGTCGGCAGATTAAGCATTTTATAAATTGTATTTTAAATACATGTTTTAAACTTGTCAGGTCCTTGTCTTCATTTCAGCCCCTGGCCTCCTACCTGGAGCTACCCCTGCCTGCCTCCTGGGAGGCTCCGGATGGTGTGCAGGCTGGGGCGAGCCCTGGGTCTTGCGGCTCCCTCCTGCGCGTCCGAGGGCCTGCTGCCTTCGGGGACTCGGTCTTTCCCAGGTACTTCCCTGAACGCTCACCACTCCCTGCGAGCGTGGGGCCCCAGTCCAAAGCAGGAGAGGATGGTGAGGAAGGGCCGCCCAGCTCTGTGCTTGCAAAGTGCGTGGGAGGCCCAGCACCCAGGGCACAGGCCAGGGCCTTGAGGCGACTCTCGCCTCGGGGTTCTCAGGCCAGAGCCAAGCTGGAGCCCTGCTCTCGGAGACCCGAGGAAGGAGTGAGACCAGGGTCCTCGCCACGGAGGCTGCGGTTCTTGTGTTTATTGGCTTACCAGGCCATACAGGCAGACGGCAGCAGCCCCGCCTGGAGCCCCGTCCGTCCGCAGGCCATGAACAGTTGCGCTGCTCAGAGAAGAGGGTCAGTGGGTTTGAGCTGATACGGAGCTGAGCCACTTCCGGCTGTCAGAGCTGTATTCTCTGTGAGGAGGGGTGAGGCAGAAGGATGGGAGAGCTCGACTCTCTCCTCGGTGCCCCGGGACTTGAGCCATCCCTGTGCGCCGAGGCGGGAGGCGGCCGGCAGCGGGGCTCAGGGCCTGATTGCAAATCCGCGACCCTTTTCCCCCTAGGGGCCTGGCCGGGGACTGCTGCAGGGACCCCGTGCTGCCCGGCGGCTCTGCCTGCGTCTCCTGATGTGGAGCCAGCAGCAGAGGAGCTCAGAATTAAACCACCGTGAGGGAGAAAAGTGGTGCCCCTGGGTCCTGGGCCCGGGCCCCCCACTCGGGACACACCAAGTCAGTTTCTGCACACACACACACACACACCCCGGCTTTCAGGTCCCAGAGCAAGCAGTCTCGGGCAGTATATAAAAGGCCGGCTCCCTAGGGGTTTGTCTGACGGTCTCTTAAGGAAGGGAGAAGGGGATCAGCCTGGGCGGGGGCCTTGCCCTCTGGGCACCTGCCTTTTGCCTTGAGATCCTGGCTGGAAGAAGAGGCCACGAATGTCCGGGCCCAGGCTGGAGGGGTTGTACTGGTCCAGCACGAAGTGGCTGCCCTGCTTCCGTTGGACTATCTTCTTGTCCAGTCGTGGGCACAGCGGGATGCAGGGAACCTGGGCATAGGGACTCTGCAGGTTGGCAGCTGGTGGGGGAGGAGCAGGAAGGCGTCAGAGCATGCCCAGCCTGGGGCAGGCGGACCCCAGTGAAATCCTGGCTCTGCCGCAGCGAGTGGGGGTGGGATGGGGAGTAGGGTTTGGGCAGGTCACTTAACCTCTCTGAAGATGGCAGTAGCCACCTGCTAGCGTTGATGACAAGGATTGAGGTGTAATGCGTGTGTATGCAAAGCACCCAGCTGAACTCTGAGCACAGATCAAGAGCTAATAACAGGGGCTAGCGCTGTGGCGTAGCAGGTAAAGCCGCCGCCTGCTGGTGCTGGCATCCCATATGGGTGCCGGTTCTAGTCCCGGCTGCTCTATTTCCGATCTGGTTTTATGCTGTGGCCTGGGAAAGCAGTAGAAGACGGCCCAAGTCCTTGGGCCCCTGCACCCACGTGGGAGACGTGGAAGAAGCTCCTGGCTCCTGGCTTCCGATTGATGCAGCTCCGGCCGTTGAGACCAGTTGGGGAGTGAACCAGCAGATGGAAGACCTCTCTCTTTTTCTCTCTCTCTCTCTGTGATTTTCAAATAAATAAATCTTTTTTTTTTTTTTTTTTTAAAGAGCCGGGCCGGCGCCGCGGCTCACTAGGCTAATCCTCCGCCTAGCGGTGCCAGCACACCGGGTTCTAGTCCCGGTCAGGGTGCCGGATTCTGTCCCGGTTGCCCCTCTTCCAGGCCAGCCCTCTGCTGTGGCCAGGGAGTGCAGTGGAGGATGGCCCAGGTGCTTGGACTCTGCACCCCATGGGAGACCAGGAAAAGCACCTGGCTCCTGCCTTCGGATCAGCGCAGTGCGCCAGGTGTGGCGGCCATTGGAGGGTGAACCAACGGCAAAGGAAGACCTTTCTCTCTGTCTCTCTCTCTCACTGTCCACTCTGCCTGTCAAAAAAAAAATAAATAAATAAAATTCAAAACAAAACAAAACAAAAGAGCCAATAACAGCTTTAAGCAGATGGCTCCTGGCAGACTGGTAGGTATATTCCAGAAACTGCAAGGCTTCCACCTGCTACACAGTGGGAGTCTTAATGGAACCTGAGCAGAGCAGGCTGGCTTGCCCGGAGAAGAGTCCCGGGGACAGACCCGCGTGTAGCGTCCCTTCCCAGCACATCCTGGCAAGGCCACAACTTGGGCAAGAGGCTTCAGCTTCCTCAGTGGCAGTTTTTCTCATCTGCCAAACGGGTAATAAATCCATCATTAGGAAGGTGGAACCCTAGCACTTCTGCCAAGGGCCCGGCTCAGTGACTGACTCGGCGGGGAGCCGGGATTGCCGGTCTCTGTGGCTGCCCCTCCTCTCCTGGCTCCAGGGACCAACCTGAGCTCAGGGCCAAGGCAGGAGTGCGAGATGCAGTGCAGGAGGCTGAGGGCCTGGCGTGGGCTGCGGGTGATGACTGACGCACTCAGGTTAGGCCCAGCGTGGGCAGCCAGGCCGCTCAGCTCCCCAGCCCTGGCAGGAAGCCAGGCAGGTGGGCACGAGAGCCCCCACCCACCGTGCCCAGGGCCTCACCGTAGTTCTGCTGCTTCAGCCGGCTCAGGAGCCTGAGGACCCTTCGTTCTGGGACTTCGAAGCCGTCTGCAGGCTGAGGGCCGGTGGGGAGCAGCTTCTGCGCCCGCAGCCGGCCTATGGCCGTCTCCACCTCTCGGGCCTTGTAGGTGCCTTCCTTCAGCTTCTTCTGGTAGTAGCTGGGGAGGCAGCGCCCGCTTGCTCAGTCTGGCTCTGCTCCACGCACCCCACTCCTCCCAGCCCCCGTCCTGTCTCCAGCTCCGCCATTCGCTTCCCTGCCCTGGCCAAAGGCCCCTCAGTAACACGCGGGAAGTGCTTATCCCTGCAAGTCGCTTCACTTCTCCGAGCTTCAGGGTTTGCTGGGTGAAACACAATTCCTGTGGGTTCCAGGAACAAGGCCCACCCGGCACCCTGCACCGTTGGGCACAGGAGAGCTTGGGCAGTGGTGTTACTTAGGATTTCTTTCTGCCAAGACAGCACAGCTGTGCAGTGAACTCCCACTCCATCTCCTCCAGAAAGTCCTGTCTGCTCCTGGCGCCCCACTGGGCTGCCCCGCACTGGACTGCAGCACCCAGCACGCAGCAGCTCTTCGCGGTGCGCTGGCCGCCCTGCCGCCCTTCTGAGGACTTGGCCAAGAGTGGCGAAGGGGACTTGCCATGTCGTGCTTGGCCTCGCCTCACTCCTGGCGCCATGCACGAGCTCCGGCCAGCTTTGCACAGGGCCGACCGCGGGCAGATGGCGGGCCAGGGTCTCTCCCTCCCTGCCCCGGGGGCCTCTCTGACTTTCGTGCAGCCCTGGAGTGTAGCGGGGTTCCGCAGCTGTGGCGCCGGCCTCAGCGGGGTGGGCACAGTGAGGTGTGCAGGCTTCCCTTTCCTGAGCCACCTCTGGGGGTCTCGGGAGATGCCCTGGGAGCCCGGACACGAGCAGGGCTGGCGCAGCTTTCCCCGCTGCAGAGGAAACTGCTCGCTCTCCCGTCCTCCTCTGCGCTTTCTGGGATTCAGATGTGCTGCTGGTAGGCTGGTTTAGGATGGGCGGGGAATGAAGGAGCACTGAATGGAAAGAAAGCCCTGGCCCCGCCCTGCTTCCTCCAGACTGGCAGCATAAGGGAGGGACAGACTCCGGCCTTGTTGGAACTCCAGCACACGGCTCTGTCGCTGAGCTCGCACACCAGCCGGAATTCTGTGACCTGCTGAACTCGGGCAGAGTGAACACGGCTGCAGCCACGTGTCTTAGAGATATTGCTCCGTGTTCTTTCTCTTGAAGCGATGGAGGATATAACCCTAAACAGAAGAGGGAGCTGCACATAGAGAAACGGGCTCTGACAGAAGGCAGAGGGGGCAGACGGTGAAGGGGGACCCCTGGGGGCGGGGGCAGTGCCCGTGCCAGAGCGGAGGGCATCACTGTACCTTCTGAGCTAAAGCTGCCCGGGGAAGGTTGGTTTAGCGGTTAAGACACAGACTGGGGCACCGCACCCCATATCGGAGCATCTGAGTTAGGTCCTGGTGCCGCTTCCGTTGCAGCTTCCTGCTACGGTGCATGCTGGGAGGCGGCAGGTGAAGGCGCAAGTACTGCGGTTGCTGCCCCCCAAGTGGGAGACCCAGATTAAGTGTCGGCTCCCGGCCGTAGACTGGCCCAGTCCTGCCTGCTGTGGGCATTTGGGGAAGGAGTCAGCTGATGGGAGATGGCTGTCTCGCTGTCTTTCGAGTAAATCATGAATATTTTTATAGAAGCTGTTGGGGGCGGTACTGTAGTGCAGCAGGGAAAGCCACCACCTGCGACGCCAGCCCCCACTTCGATCCAGCTCCCTGCCGACGCACCTAGGAGGGCCGCAGAAGGTGGTCCTAGAACTTGGCCTCTGCACACACCTAGGAAGGCCGCAGAATGCGGTCCTAGAACTTGGCCTCTGCACCCGCGTGGGAGACCCCTGTGGAGTTCCTGCCTCCTGGCTTGGGCCTGGCCCAACCCTGATCGTTGTAGCCATCTGGGGAGTGAACCAGCGAATGGAAAATCTTTCACTCGCTTGCTCTCTTCTGTATTCAGCCTTTCAAATAAATAAAGGAAAGCTGTTGGGGAGATGTGCCCTCATTTGTAAAAGGAAGCAAACCAAGAAAGAAATCCAGGAGGTGGCGAATCCAAAGCAGAGGAAGAGAAAGAATTCCTAGGATGCAGCTGAGTCCCAGAATTAGTTCCTTAGGAGACCTAGAAATTAGTTTTCCAGGGGCTGGTGCTGTGGCGCAGCGGCTTAAAAGCCCTGGCCTGAAGCGCCGGCATCCATATGGGCGCCGGTTTGAGTCCCGGCTGTTCCACTTCCCACCCAGCTCTCTGCTAGGGCCTGGGAAAGCAGCAGAAGATGGCCCAAGTGCTTGGGCCCCTGCACCCACGTGGGAGACCCAGAAGAAGCTCCTGACTCCTGGCTTCGGATTGGTGCAGCTCCAGCTGTTGCGGCCATCTGGGGAGTGAACCAGCAGATGGAAGACCTCTCTCTCTGTCTCTACCTCTCTCTGTAACTCTGTCTTTCAAGTAAATAAATAAATAATAAAAAGACAATTATTTAAAAATAAAAATAAAGCAACGTCCATGGGAGAGCCTTGTGGCACAGCCACAGCGTGCCCGGCCAGAGCACTGGTTCTGATGTGCTGCAGACCCAGCTTCCTGCTTAGGTACCTGGGAAGGCAGCAGGCCGTGGCCCAGCTGCCTGGACCTCTGCCGCCTGTGTGGGAGACCAGGATGGAGTTCTTGGCTCCTGGCTTCAGCCTGGCACTGCCTGGGCCCACTGCAGCCATTTAGGAGGGAACCTGCAGTTGGACAAACTTGCGTTCTCTCTCTCTCTCTGCCATTCAAGTAGATTAAATCTTGTTAAAAATGTCCATTTATTTATTTACTTTTTAATTGGAGAGTGAGAGAGAGAGAGACAGGGCTCCTATCCACTGATTCACTCCCCAAATGTCCATGACCACCAGGGCTGTGCCACACTGAAGCCAGGAGCTAGGAATTCAACCCAGGTCTGCCGTGGGAAGCAGGGACCCAAGGCCTTGGCTGACCACCTGCCGTCCGCTAGGGTGTGCAACAGCAGCAATCCAGAAAAGGGGCTGGAGCTGGAGCTCCTAAGCCGGCAGCTCTCATGTGGGCGTGAGCATCTTAACCCCTTGGCCGGATGCCTGCCCCTCAATTTCTCTGTTAAAGATTTATTTCTTTGAAAGGCAGAGTTACAGAGAGGGAGGGAGAAAAAAGACTCCCCAAACAGCTGGGGCTCAGCCAGGCCAAAGCCAGGAGCCAGGAGCCAGGAGCCAGGAGCTTCCTCCAAGTCTCCCACATGGGCGGCAGGCCCCAAGCACTGGGCCGTCCTCCGCTGCTTTCCCAGGTGCATTAGCGGGGAGCTGGATCAGAAGGGCAGTAGCCAGTGACGCAGCACCTGCATGGAACACTGGCACCCCCGGGGGCAGCTTCACCTGCTGCACCACAACGCCAGCCCCATCCACCACGAAGTCAAAGTTGAACGCCACAAGGAAGTGGACATGGTCATATTAATGCCAGAAAGCCTCAGTGGAGACAAGTGACTTCTGTGTCATGACAAGATGTTCAGTTCATCAGGAAATAGAGAATTCTGAACTTGCAAGGTGAGGGGTGGGTGTTTGGTGCAGCAGTGAAGTCGCCGCCGGGATGCCTGCACCCCGTATCAGTCTCAGTTCTAGTCCTGGCTCCACTCTGATTCCAGCTTCCTGCTAACGCGCCCCCTGGGAGGCGGCAGGTGAGACTCAAGTACTTGGGTCCCTGCCGCCCACATAGGAGACCTGGATGGAGTTCTGGGCTCCTGGCTTTGGCCTGACCCAGCCCTGGCTGGCTGTCTCTGTCTCTATGCCTTTCGAATAGCATTAAAATAAATTTAAAGAAATATCAGGCAAAACCTGATATAACTACAAGAAGTAGAGAATTCCTACGCCACAGCGGTGCCGAGAAGCAAACAAGTACAGAAGAGGGGAACACTCTTCCTGAAGTCCAAGTCCAGTTCACGTGTGGAGGAGTGACGGAGTTAGGAAGTCAGCATTTTCAGCCACTGGATTGATCACTGATTAGGCAAGAGTCATCACTAGAGGCTAAATCACGGGTGTTGGGGCCGGCACTGTGGCACAGCGGGTAAAGCTGCCACCTGCAGTGCCGGCACCCCATATGGGCACCGGTGGGAGTCCTGGCTGCTCCACTTCCGATCCGGCTCTCTGCTATGGCCTGGGAAAGCAGTGGAAGATGGCCCAAGTCCTTGGGCCCCTGCACCCACATGGGAAGCCCGGAAGAAGCTCCTGGCTCCTGGCTTCGGATCCACACAGTTCTGGCCATTGTGGCCAATTGGGGAGTGAACCAGCAGATGGAAGACCTCTCTCTCTCTCTCTCTCTCTCTCTCTCTCTCTCTCTCTCTCTCTCTCTCCCTCTCTTCCTCTCTCCCTCTCCCCCTCTCTCCCTCTCTGTGGGTGGGTGGTGGTGGGGGTAACTCTGACTTTCAAATACAATAAATAAATCTTAAAAAAAAACACCAGGGGTGTTAAGCGTGGTGAAAGGGGGACGTTTATGTAGACTCAGTTCCCCAGTCAGCCTCAGGAAACAGAGCAAACGCTTCCCAGTGAGAAACCGTGGCAGAAACGACACGGCCAGCACACGGCGGGCACGCGCGCTCCCCCGGCACCCGCTGTCCTGTCTGTGAGGAGACACCCGCAGGTGCAGCCCCCAGCAGCAGTGACAAGAGGAGGACCCGTCCAGGTCCCAGGAAGCCACAGCCACGACAAGCCCTGTGCCCTGTGCTCCTGGCTTGGAGGAAAAAAGAAGGAAGACACACACACACCCCTCCACAACAGCGAAGGCCGTTAGTGTCAGGACGATGGCCCAACAACAGGATGAGGGGACAGTGTTGCTTCAGTGTTAATTTCCTAAAATGGGTAAGATACTGTGAGTGTGTAAGAAAACGCCCTCACTATTAGAAAATACAGATCTTCAGCAGCTCATGGAAAAGGTGTGTTAGGAAAAAACTGCAGAGAATTCAAAATTTTTGCACCAAACTGAGTCTAGTTTAATTCTATGCTTCCATGTACTTTGAGAAGAACCCTCATAAATACTGAGTACCCGGGGACAAGGGGACGGGCGTCTTACTCTGCTGATTCTTAAGTGGTTGAGAAAGACAAGTTTCCTCAAGGTGTGCGAAAGGCAGTGATAGGCCGGTGCCGCGGCTCACTAGGCTAATCCTCCACCTGCGGCGCCGGCACACCGGGTTCTAGTCCCGGTCGGGGCACCGGATTCTGTCCCGGTTGCTCCTCTTCCAGGCCAGCTCTCTGCTGTGGCCCGGGAGTGCAGTGGAGGATGGCCCAAGTGCTTGGGCCCTGTACCCGCATGGGAGACCAGAAGCACCTGGCTCCTGGCTTTGGATCGGCGCAGCACGCGGGCCGCAATGTGCCAGCCGTAGCAGCCACTTGGGGGGTAAACCAACGGAGGGAAGACCTTTCTCTCTCTCTCTCACTGTCAAAAAAAAAAAAAAAAAAAAGGCAATGATAGAGCAAATGTGGGAAAATGCTGACCGTTGGGAAACCTGCAAAGAGCCCTTCAATTTAAGCATGTCCGTTAAGCTTGGTGCAGCTGAACCTGCACCCTAATAGAAGAAGTAACTACAGACCCAAAGAGAGCCTTAAGATTCTAGGGAATGTTCTTTTTAGGAAAAATGCTTATTAATTTATTTTCGTCTGTTTGGGAGGCCGAGAGAGAGAGACCTACCGTCTGTTGGTTCACTCCCCCATGCCCACAACAGCCAGGGCTGGGCCACGCTGAAGGGAGGAGCCGGGAACTGCATGTGGGTCTCCTACCAGGTGGCAGAAACCCAAGCACTTGGAGCACCCTCAGGAGGCGGGATGGAAGGGGGGAGCCAGGATGCAGGCTGGCACCGTCGGGAGTGTGGGTGTCCCAAGTAGTGGCCACAACACCACCCCTACCCTCGTACGGCACATTCTAATGTTCCATGCTAACACGTAGAGAACGACAAGCATCGGGTGGATTCCTAGAGAAATGTGAACTGCCAGAGTTGTTCTCAAGAAGCAGAAAACCTGAGTAGTTACATAACTATTACAGAAATTGAATCAGTAATTTAAAATCTGGGGTGGTGCTGTGGTGCAGCCGGTTAAGACCCCGGCCCGCAGTGCCGGCATCCCAGCTCCCTGCTAACGCACCTGGGAAAACGGCAGAACATGGCACAAGTGCTGGGCCTTGCACCCACGTGAGATCCCAAAGAAGCTGCAGGCTCCTGGCCTCAGATCGGCCCAGCTCCAGCCATTGCAGCCATTTGGGGAGTGAACCAGCAGGTGGAAGATCTTTCTCTCTCCGTCTCCCTCCCTCCCCCTCTCTCTGTAACAATGTCTTTCAAAGAAATAAAATAATAATAATAATAATTTAACATCTTCCCACTTGTCTCCGGCTCTGGATGGAGGAACTTCCGGCAGACCAGTCCTCCGCTATGGTCAGAGCATTTGTATCCCCGTGAAGTTCCCGCTGAAATCCTCAGGCCCGGGCTGCCGGCTCCGGCAGGTGGCCAGGTCATCGGGCGGAGCCCTCCTGAACCCGGTCAGTGTCCCTGTGTGGGGACGGCCGAGAAGGTGCCGGCTCTGAGCCAGCCCATGCTGCGTCTCCCGTGCCTTGGTGTGAGAAAGACTGGTGACTGTTCCACACCAGCCTGTGGTCTCCCGACAGCGTAGCCCGGAGGACTAAGCCGCCGTCTCACCACCAACAGCAGCAGAGCGGCACGGAGCGGGAGAGGAGGGCGATTTGCGCACTGGGAAGCCAGACCTGGATTCCCAAGACGAAGCCTCCGGTTGCCCTGCGGGGCAGCAAGCCGGGTCGGGGAGGGCCCCAGGCTCGTCCTGACCGGAGGCGGCAGAGGGCAGAGTGCTGAGAACCAGGGGCAGGGGAGGGGAGTGTGGGAGGAGGCAGGCCGCAGGCGCTGCAGGGTGGGCCGCACTCCCTGAGGCTTGTCTGGGCTACCGCGGGGACCCTCCGGCGTGGGGGAAGGCCTCCCTTGTATCCACGCACCCCACAGCATCAGTGCCCCGGAGCGGGCAGAGGCCATGTCTGCAGCCTTGCAGGCGGCGGGGTCTCTGCGCTGCCGCCGGAGCACCCCGGGAGGAAGTGTGTCCCGTCTCCAAGGTGACACGCGTGGTCCCCGTGAGACGGAAACAACCTCACCAGAAGAAAACAGGAACAGCTCTCCACGGACACTGACCGCCCCTGGGACCCGAATGCTGGAGGCCATGACCAGAACATAACTGACCTTGAACCGATCCGGGGGTCTCCCGCGGAGGCCAGCGGGCGGGGAGGGGCTGCCCAGCGCTCTGCCGGCCACGGCCACGGCCCACGGGCGGGTCTCCCCGCGTGGCCTCTCTAGAGCGTCCTCACTTGGTGGGGCGTTTGAGGCTTTCGCTGACCAACAGGTGGGGGCTTCCTCAAAGCCAGTTAAACTGAGAAATGGGCACGTGGGACTTGGCGTGATTGCTTTTCAAGTTCATTTATGTTCTTTGGAGTTGTGTATATATTTTTCACTTTTATTTATATATCATTATTTATTTGGAAGGCAGAGACACAGGAAAGGGAGACAGGAGAGACAGAGAGACAGAGATCTTATATCCGTTGGTTCACTCCTCAGAATATCTGCAACAGCCAGGGCTGGGCCATCCCACCCACCCGGGCTTCCCACGGGGGTGACAGCGACCCAAGTGTCTGAGCCGTCACCTGCTGCTTCCCAAAACGGGCACGAGCAGGAAGCTGGAACTGACCCGGGCTGCCGGCATCCGTGCCACGGGCCCACCTGTGGAGCCGTGTGTGTTCTGAGTGACCCAGATGCTGGGAGGAACGTGGGTCTCGTGCCTGGGCTGCTGCGTGGATGCCGTGTGCTGTAGGCGCCATCATACACCTGTGCCCTGCCCCGCGTGGAAAACTGGAACCCAGCGTAAGGGCGGGAGTGCACGGCGGTGTGTGACGCCGAGGGAAGGCCCTAGGGGCTGAGATCCAGTTCCTGTCTCCGGTTTACAGAGGAAGAAGCTGAGGCCCAGAGAGAAGCGAGGTGTCTGGGGGCCGGGGGAGAGGCCCAGGCGGAGCCCCTGCACCCTCCCCCTCCCTCGTGGTCCCACGGTTTCCACGAGCCCCGCGCTGAGCGGCAGGTGTCCTGATGTATTTGTTTCAAAGACAGACGATGGGGCCGAGGGGTCCTCTGAGGACAGGGCCAGACAGTGCTGTGCAGAGATCTGGCCCTGAGCCTGTGCCTTGGCCTCTGGCCTTGACCGTCCACGTCGTCCTGGCCACCCACCCCAGGGACACAGGGGCAGCCTCCAGCGGCTTCCTGTTCTGGAACTGCTCTCTGGGTACTACGGGGGGAATGACCCAGATCACGCCATCACGATCCGAGATCACGGGTCATCTGGCCTCCTGGATCCAGCCAGGCCTGAAGCGCTGGCTGGTTGTTTGAGCCAATAGCTTCCCCTTTGCTTAAGCCAGTTACGGAGGGTTCCTCACTCACAGCCTCGAGTCTTAGCCTCCAACACGCCAGATGCCACCTGCGTGTCCACAACCTCCTCCCCAGCGAAGCCGCGCCACTCACTTCGTGATCTCCTCTAAGGCCGCCTCCGGTAAGGCCAGCATCTCCACCAGCAGGGACAGGATCTCAAAGAGCAGGGTGTGCGGGTTGGGCAGAGCCATGTCCGTCGGGGCATTCTGTTCTGGGGACACGGGACGGTGGCTGCCATTACCACTCGGTGCCCACCCAGTGCCAAGCCCCGCCTCCCGGCCCCTCCTCCAGCTCTGAGTGCCCAGGGCTGCTCACCCACGGAGCAGAAGAAGCGCCTGGTGTCTGTCATCACGGCCAAGAAGTCTTTGAAGTCCACGTGCCCGTCTCCTGTGGGGGCAGGGGAGCGACAGGGTAGGCGGGGCCCTCTGGAGCGGGTCCAGGCACTGCAGCCCCGAGCAGTCACTTTTCGGGTCTGATTATAAAAGGAACGCATATCCAATGCAGAAAACATGGTGCACGCGGGAGAGCAGATGAGAAAGTTAAAAACCTACGGCACAAAGCACTAGGACTTGAGTCCTCGCTCAGCGCAGCCCAGGCCCAGCTGATGGGGCATTTGGGGAGAGACCAGGGGGTAAGGTCTCTCTCTCTCTCTCTCAAATAAATTTTATTTTAAATTTTAAATGGTGCATAGCCGATAGTCAAACTACTGAATGAGTGGATGGTCTGCAGTCCTCAAAGCTGCCACGTGGGGGCGCTCAGTACCCTCGTCCCCACTTCACAGATGCGGCCTGAGGCAGGAAGGAGAGGCGGCTCTGGCAGGGGCAGGCGAGGGCGGAGCTGGGGTCGAGTCCCCGGTGTGTGCAGGAGGATTTGCACTGTGCGGTGACGCCGGGGACAGAGCCATGGCACCAGGTGATCAGGGGTCCCCGTGCAGTCCCACGCGTTCCCTGCACACCAGGCAGGATTCCCCGGCCCTGCACTCTCCCTTTGAGGAATGCCCTTGTCCCCGCCTTGCCTAACTCCTGCGTAAGCTTTCACACCTCAGCTCAGGCATCGCCTCCTCCAGGAAGCCTTCCTGAGACTCCTCCCTCCACGCTGCTTCTGTCGGGGCCTCCCCAGGTCGCCCTTGCCCGACGGCAGGGACCTCCTGTGAGCAGGGTCTCCTGCGCCTCACAGCTCTCTTTGCCCTGCGCTCACAGGGGCGCCAGGAGGCTTCCAGTTGATTCTATTTACTGGATGAGTCGCAGCGGCAGCTGATGTCTCCTGGCACGGGTGCTGTGCTGGGTGCTGCGCCTGGATTATCTCCTGGCATCTTCACAGTAGCCTGGTACTGTATAAACCCATTCCGCAGATGGAGAAACTGAGGCTTCATGAACTCCAGGCACTTGTCCTGAGCCACGCAGTGGGGAAAATGGGCAGCGAGTCCATCTGATGAGGCGGGAGTGAGAGCCCAGCGGTCAGCGTCTCTCAGAGCACAGACAGCCTGGGGCCAGGAGGCTGGGCCGTGGCCACCTCTGCTCCCTAGAATCTGGTGCTGGGTAGGTGCTCAGGGAGCATTCGCTCCCAGAACTTGGGCCTGCGACATAATCTGGGGGAGCCAGTGCAGGATGGGATCCTAGTCATACCGCGATTAAGAATTTCTAGGTTGCGGCTGGCGCTGTGGCATTGTGGGTAAAGCCGCCGCCTGCAGTGCCGGCATCCCGTGAACACCAGTTCGAGTCCTTGGGCACCTGAACCCGCATGGGAGACCCAGAAGAAGCTCCTGGCTTCGAATAGGCGCAGCTCTGGCCATTGTGACCATCTGGGGACTGGGGAGTGAACCAGCGGATGGAGGACCTCGCTCTCTCTCTCTGCCTTTCAAATGCATAAATAAATCTTTTAAAAATTAACAGCATTTCTGTGCTGTGCCAGCAGAGCGCTAAACCAGATCCAGGTCCTTTCAGCACAGGGTCCCGTGTGACCTCCCTGGTGTCTGCCAGGGAAGCCCCGCCTGGGGCGGGAGCGACACCCCCCCCCACTCACCGTCGACGTCGGCGCTCATCAGCGCGTCCTCCACCTGGGCTGGCGTCAGGGAGAAGCCCACCAGGAGCAGGATGTTCTTCAGGCTCTGCGCGTCCACCTCGCCCGGGCCATTGAACATCTCGAAGTAGCTGCGGAAAGCTGCGGGAGGCGGCCCACGTGGGCGGGGAGTCCTTCCCCCACCCCCACTCATCCCAGCCCCTCCCTGCCTCCCGCCCAGCTTCCTCCAAAGATAACTAAGCTAAGCGTGTAGAGGCTGCCGTTGAGGCTAAGCAAGTTAAGGCATCCCATACGGGTGCTGGTTCGAGTCCCGGCTGCTCCACTTCTGATCCAGCTCCCTGCTAATGCACCTGGGAAAGCAGCAGGAGATGGCTCAGGTGCTGGGGCCCCTGCACCCATGTGGGAGGGCAGGATGGAGTTCCAGGCTCCTGGCTGTGGCCTGGCCCAGCTCTGGATGTTGTGGCCATTTGGGGAGTGAACCAGCGGACAGAAATTCTACCTTTCAAATAAAATAAATAAATAAAAACAATTCCATAAAAGAGGAATGGAGGGACACGGTGCCCTTGGACTCACTCTGCTCTCCCAGACCAGGCGCAGGTGGGCATGAGCTGAGCTCATTTTTAGCCTCCATTGGCACCAGGAGTCCCCCCACTTCAGGGCACCCCACATGTGCCAGGCCCTGGGCTAAGTTTTTCTTTTTTTCTTTAAAGATTGATTTATTTATTTGAGAGGCAGAGTTACAGACAGAGGGAGAGACAGAGAGAAAGGTTTTCCATCTGCTGGTTCACTCCCTAAATGGCCACAATGGCTGGAGCTGGGCCAATCCAAAGCCAGGAGCCAGGAGCTTTTTCTGGGTCTCCCACGTGGGTGCAGGGGCACTGGGACTTGGGCCATCTTCTACTGCTTTCCCAGGCCATAGCAGAGAGCTGGATCGGAAGTGGAGTAGCCGGGACTCGAACCGGTGCCCATATGGGGTGCCGGCACTGCAAGTGGAGGCTTAGCCCACTACGCCGCAGGGCGGCCCTGGCCTAAGCTCTTTGGAGCATGTTCTTGTTCCGTCCTTTCAGCATCCTCGGAAGAGCAGAATGCTATTTCCATCCGAAAGGTGGGAAACGGGTTCGCAGGGTAGGTGCCCAGACAGCTTTTTCCACGTCGGTCCCTTGTCCTTGGTGTCTACAGCCACTTATCTGGGCCAGAGCAGAGGACAGGCAGAGTGGCACCAGCTGACCCAAAGCCATGCCCTAGTCCAGCGTGCGTGCTGGCTGCTTTCTCAGCCCACAGTGAGACCAGCTCTGCTGGCTAGTAAGCTGGGTGGCCCCTGTGGGCTGGACTGTGTTCCCCCGAATTCTCCTGTTGCAGCCCTAGCCCCCAGGGCCTCAGGATGGGGCTGAGTCTGGGGACAGGGCCTTTAAAGAGGCCTTGAGGGTGTGAGGCTGTTAGCACGGCGCTCATCCAGTCTGGCTGCTGTCCTGTGTGAAAAGGCCACCTGGTGAGAGACAGGGCCAGGCTTGGCCAGGATGTGCGTGTGCGCGGGGACGGCCAGGTGGGGACACAGCAGGCCAAGGAGGGGGCCTCTGGGGAAACCGGCCCCGCCCCATCGCCTCCAGCACTGTGAGAAAGCAGGGGTCAGTGCGCATCCAGCCGCCCGGGGAGTGGCACTGGGTGATGGAGGCCGGGCTGATCTAGAGCCGGGGCCAGGCGCCTCGGTTTCCCTGTCTGGACTGACCCTGTCTGTACTGAATTCAGACAATTCACAGCACACAACAGATGCTGTTAAGTCTGCAAGTCTCGGACAAACAGGCGGGGCTGGGCTGAGGGGAGGAGGGGCCCTGCCACGGGCGGGCACTGTCCAAAAGGGAAAACCGGAAGAGCTCCCAGAAGCCGTGGCGGAGGGCAGGCAGCTCCTTCCTCCCCAGATAGGAGCTGAGGTCGGGGCGGGGACCCTGAGACTGAGTCCACTGGTGCGCTTTTCATCAATGGCTCCAGGGGTCCGGCCACGGGCCCCCTTCCCCCTGCAGAATAGCCAGGGGGGTTTAACACCAAAAGCAGTGAAGTTCAAGGTCGGGGCTCAGGGAGCCGCTGAGCCTTCAGGGCAGGCAGAGGAAGAGGCAGCTCTGGGCAAGAGGGCAGTGGGGATGGGAGGAGGCACACCCACTGTTGGGGAGGGTGGGGTCAGAGGGCACTGTGTTCCACACGTGGTCGTGCTCAGGATTTGTGGTTTTGGGTGGGCATGAGATGCAGTGGGAGTGGGAGCCTGCCGAGGGCTGTAAGATGGGGGCCCTGGTGCCCTTCCAAGATGCCTCTCAGCAGGCCTAGCCCGCACCTGGGGGAGTCCTGGACCTCAAGTCGGGGGGCTAGCTAGCGTTAACACCCCACCCTCCGTGGCTCCTGAGCTCGGGTCCACCCCCTCCCCTGCAGTAAGCCCCCTTGGTCCAGCGCACAGGGCCACGGTGGGCGGCAGGGCAGCGGTGTCGCCTGCGGAACACCATCCCACCACGCCTGCGAACGGGGCCCTGCGCGAGCCGGCTGCCCTCACCTTCCTCCTGCCGCAGGGTGAGGCGCTCCTCGGGCCGCTCCTCCCAGCTCTGACACAGCTTCCGGAGGCCGTGGTCTTCCGGCTCCTGCCTGCGGGGACAAAGCCGGCCCGGGGCCACATCCAGCCCACCCTGCCCGCAGCTGCCACCGAGGTCTGGCAGAGGCAAGGGGAGGCTGGGAGGTACAGAACTGGGAGACACAGGGCGAGACGGAGGGAACAGGCAGCAGCAGGGACAGGGACAGAGAAGCGGGATGCAGGGACCTGCCTCCGGGACCAGGCTCTGCTGGGAGCCCTGGGTGGGGGTGGGGCCCTACCGTGCCCTGCAGCTGCTCAGGGTCCGCTCGCTGCCCCCGTGCAGGAGCTCCGTCTTCCTCCAGGGCGCCCGCACTGCAGCCACTGGAGCACCCGCGGGGGCAGGGCCAGGCCCAGGGGTCAGCGACCGAGTCCACGGAGAGGCAGTGGCGGGAGCTGAGGCGGGCATCTGGGGCAGGGGCAGGCTTGGGGCTGAGATGGGCACAGGGGTGGGGGTCCTGGGGAGCTTGCGGCCCGGCGGGGCCCGGGCCCTCGAGGCTCTCCGGTGGGCGGCCTCCTCCTCCTCCCCCACCGCCAGCAAGCACTTCATGAAGCCCTGGCGAGGGGGTTCGGGGCCCTGGGCCCCCGCGGGCTCCTCAGGCTGGTTCTGCGCGTGGTCTGGCTCCCGCCTCTCTCCCATGTCCCTCACCTGCGGGGACACAGAGGGCATCTGGGAGGCCTCCAGCCTACCAGACGGTCCCACAAGCTCCTCCCTGCTGCCACTCGCCGGGGTTCCGGAACTGCCTCCTGCCTGAGCCCCTGGAGGCCGTGCCACGATCTCATGTACAGCCCGCTAGCTCCGGCCTCGGGTCCTCCCAGCGCCACCTGCCTCCGCCCGGCCCCGCGGGCTGTGGTCTTAGTGAGCGACTGCTGGTCCCACTGCAACCATGACCACTGCGGGGACCCTGCCCGCACCTGCTGTTTGCCTGTCTGACCGGGCGCTAGGACCTCCTCCGCCTCTGTCATCCAGACGCGGGGTCTTCAAAAAGCTCATGGAAGATGTGGGATATGGAAAAGCTATGCATGCATTGCAAGACGTTTTGCACCAGAATCTAGTCCCGCCTTTCCATGAAATGTGTGCAGTTCCTCACGCGCCCAGCAGCCAGCCCTTGGTAGGTACTCAATTCCTTCTCAGCCACTCCCTGCATCTCTTCCCTCCCATGGCTGGGGGGCGGGCTGTCCAACCTCTGACAAGGCCATGCCCCAGGGGCTCCCGGTTTTCATCTTGCAAAACTCATTGAATGGTAGCTGCTGCTGCCCCGCCCACAGCCTCTGGCGACCCCGTTCTACTCTCTGAGACTCTGGGTTTGTCCCCAAGAGCAGTCACCCAGCCTTGAGTCCAGCGTCTCCAGGGTCACTCATGCAGTAGCGTGTGTCGGAATCCCCTTCCTTTTTAACGCTAAGATTTCGTTGCACACGCAGACCACGCTGTGTTGACCCACCTGGGTCGCGGCTGTATTTTTGGCTATTCTGACTGATGCCAACTCCTGAGAACCCCGCTGTCAGTGCTGCTGGGTACACCCAGAAGTGGACTCGCTGGGTCACGGACAACTTCTATTTTTAGATTTAATTTTTTTTTCATTCATCTATTATTTATTTGAGAATCAGATAGAGATCACTGCCATTTGCTTGCTGAGTCACTCCCCAAACGCCTGCAGCAGCTGGAGCTGGGCCAGGCCGAAGCCAAGAGCCAGGAACCCAATCCAAGTCTCCCACTCGACTGAAAGGGGCCCAAGCACCTGAACCATCGCCGCTGCCTCCCAGGGTCGGTGCTAGCAGGAGCTGGAGTCAGGAGCGGAGCCGGGATTCAACCCCAGACGCTCAGGGCGGCCTCTGTTAATCTCCTAAGGAAGCGCTGTTCTGCATGGCCACCCCGTCTCACGTTCCCGCCACCCTCGCACAGGGCCTGCAGCCTCTCCACAACCCCGCCACCCTCGTTAGCGGCTGTCTGTCCTTGTGGGCAGCACGCAGCCCATGGCTGCGAGCCGAGAGTCCTCCCATCCTTCTCCCTCTGACCACCTCTCCACCACCACCACGCAGCCCACAAGCCCTCCTGGCTCCACCTCCCAAGTCCCCATGCACTTCCTGCCGCCACCCTGGTACAGGCCAGACTACCACCTGTTGTCCAGGGCACTGCCAGGGGCTCTGCCCTTGGCTCCCGCCCAGTTCATTACCCACCAGCTGCTACACCACAGTGCTTCCAGCCCACACCGGCTCATCTCACACCAACCTGCCTAAAACCCTTCAGTGGCTTAGCTTGGATTCTAAATAATTCTATACTAGATCTATCACTCTGACTCTGACGTTCATGCACATGCATCACTCTCTCCCTTCTCCCTCGAGCTTGCGGCTGATCCTTGCTCACGACTAGTTCATGATCCACCGAGACCCGCTAGCTGCTGCTGCCTCTGC